CGCAACCAGGGCATCGGATGAAAAGTTTAAAAAATATGAAGGTGCCCTGCCCTCGATGGATTTTTTACCTGTTTGCATCGAGGTTCTTGGCCCGATGGACAACAACACTTCAATATTTTTTAAAAAGATTTGCAAAATGATAAGTGGCAGGTCCGGCGACAGCAGAGAGCTATTTTTCGCCATGAATCATATATCTTGTTTGCTGCAAAGGTTTTTGCGCGTCTGTGTTACCGAAAATGTTCAATTAAACGCCGACGTGAGCGAATAACGAGATATCAATTGTTAACCGATTTTTTCGGATGTTTGACTGTTTAGTGTCACTCATCGCTGATTTGGTTTTAACATACATACATACGCATATACGCATATACGACGCATACAAACACCTACACACAATGCATACAGACACACGTGTATTATCACAAGCACTACCTTACTGCCTAACTACCTTTCTACCTTAAGGAAACAAAGAATGTTGTTGTCCATGATGATGCGATAGCTAGAAGTACCTTTGTGTGTGATTGCACTGTAACGTTTGTATGTTTTTGTGTAGGTTTTGTATGTTGCTTTGTATGTTTTGTATGTTGTTTTGTATGTTTTGTATGTCTTTGTGTAATTTTGTATGTCTTTATGTACGAGTGTATGTCTTTGTGTAGGTTCGTATGTTTCTACGTATATTTTTTATGTATGTATGTATGTTTGTATGTTTCTGCGTACCTTTCGTATACAAATATCCCCGCACAAATATACATGCCACAGGCATACATACCGTAAAACATGCATACAAGTTTGTACTCGTTGATAATGATGATGGTCTGGATGATTAAAAGTAAACTTTGCATCATACATCATTGAAGAATGCAATCGGTGATGATGATGAGGATGGAAATTGTGATAGAAAAGATGATGACGGTAGTGGTGAAATTGAAGATAAAAATGATGAAGATGCTGATGGCCGTGATGATGATAATGATAACAGAGGTAGGTGTGGACGGCTGGGTGGAGTTTATGTTTAAACTATTTTCGCAAATCAAGCAGAAACTAACTTGAAAAAAATCAGAAATAAACGATGACTAAAACAAAAATGATAAGAAAATATGATGATGATGATGATGATAGCAAAATGACCCATTAAAAATAATGAGGATGAAGATGACGAATGAGAAAAATGAAGAAGAGGAAGACGACGATGATGATTCTCTGTCCCTTGCTTACCTGAAAAGCAGAGTGACCGATTTAAAGCTTCTATACTTATGTATATATGTACGTATGTATGTATGCATGTACGTACGTATG